GTGTGTGTGTGTGGTGTGTGTGTGTGTGTGTGTGTGTGTGTGTGTGTGTGTGTGTGTGTGTGTGTGTGTGTGTGGTGTCATGATTCGGTTCTGTGTTGCTTCCTGTCAGGCTTTTATTTTGATGCTACGTCCTGTTTTGTTTCACCACAGTTTTGGTCTTTTTACTTTCTTCATCACCCGCATTAGTTTCACCTGCTCATTATAGTTTGCACCGCATCATAAGCAGCCTTCACCCACCAATCCCAGCCAGATTGTTCTAGACGCCACCTCTCACTCTCCAGCATTTTTCGGTTTTGGTACTTTGTGTTTTTGACCCGGCTTGTTCCTCTGACTATTCTGTTCTGCCTTGCCCTCTTGCTTCAGACTGTCACTGTGTATAATTATCGGACTTCCCTTTGGACTACGTATTTGGATTCCTCTGCTGTATGTGTTTGCTGGCTCTGATCTCGGACTGTTTATACCGACCTGTGATTTTTGTGTTTCACCGTGTCTTGTATGGTTTTGTTTAGCGTTAGTTCTCTTATTAAAGAGACGGTTTTGTTTTACATTTCCTTGTCTGGCCTTTTAATTGAGTTCACCCTCAACATTTTTGGCAGCATAACGCGCCGATTCCTGACATGTGGTGTGTGCGTGTGTGTTTGTCTTTATATACTTGTGCGAACCAACCCCTGATGGAACACCTTTCTTGTGTGGACATTTCATTGGTGACTTTCACCAATGCGGTTTCTGTACTATGATGGACTCTAAATCCTGACTGAAAATCCTCAAACAAATCATTCTTGTGCAAGTGGTCACATAACTGCTTTGCTACAGCTTTTTCAAGGATTTTGGAAATAAATGGGAGATTGGATATTGGTCTATAATTAGCTAGGACACCTGGGTCAAGAGTAGGCTTTTTGAGTAGAGGTTTAATTACTGCAAGTTTAAAAGCCTGTGGAACATAACCTGTTAATAGAGAGAGGTTAATCAGATCTAGTATGGATGTGTTGATTAGGGGAAAGACGTCTTTGAGCAGCCTGGTCGGGATGGGGTCCAGGAGACATGTTGATGATTTAGATGAAGCAATTGTTGAGGTCAACTCAGAGAGATATAGGGGAGAAGTAGTCCAAGTATAAATGAGGTCTTACAGATGTTTCTAAAGCCATTGTAGTAGATGGCACATCTGTGAGAGCTGTGGGAGTGGTCCGACCAATTTTTTTCTCTAATAGTTGTGATTTTATTTGTAAAGAAGCTCATGAAGTCATTGCTGCTGAGATCTAAGGGAATGTTAAGCTCAACAGCACTGTGGCTCTTTGTCAGCCTGGCTACAGTGCTGAAAAGAAACCTGGGGTTGTTCTTATTTTCCTCAATCAGTGATGAATAAAATGTGGTTCTGGCACTATGAAGGGCTTTCTTATATGTTATTAAACTATCTTTCCAGGCTATGAAAAACTCTTCTGACTTAGTGGAGCGCCACCTCCTTTCCATTTTTCGTGATGCCTGCTTTAGGGAGCGGAGCTGCGAGCTGTACCACGGGGCTAGCCTCCTCTGTTTCACTACCTTCTTTTTCAGAGGGGCAATGGTATCAAGTGTATTACGCAGGAAGGCTGCAGTACTATCAACAAGATTATCGATTTGTGTGGGAGTAAAGTTAAGGTGGCCTCCTTCCACTGTGTTGGCAAACGGCACTGAAGTAGATAAAGATGGAATTATTTCCTTAAACTTGGTAACAGCATTGCCAGATAGACATCTGCTGTAGTGGAATTGTTTCCCACATAAAGTATAATCCATTAATGGAAATTCAAAAGTTATTAGAAAATGGTCAGAACCTAGAAAATAGTGAGTTTAATTCCTAAACAATCTGGAAGCAAGCACAACGCAGTGCAAATACAGAGAACAGGAAATGAGTACGGTTTACCGCAGGAAACAGCAGTCCGTCAAAGGTTCCGCCAATGAACCAATGGTTCACACACACATCTTTCTTGACCAGATGGAGTCCAAAAAAACTGCCTGTTCAACAGTGTCATCAAAATTTGTGTTTTATCTACATTAGTGTTTGGAGCTCAAATGAACTTATATCTGATCCAATCACTTTTTCTTTGGAGATTTGAACATTTTATCAACAAACTGAAAATGTAAAGCAAATCAAAAATCAAAAGCTCACAACTGTTACTGGTAAAAAGCTGCTCCACAGCATCTGGTCACAGAAAACATTAAGGCACTGTGATACTTTCACATACAGTGGAAAACAATTGCTTCAGAATGAACTACAGTATCTGAGAACATTTAGACACCGGCTCATGTCGGGGCTTTACTCAAGAACATCCAAAAATGCCAGCTGTTTTTTATAAGTCATCAAATCTGCTTCAGTGGAGGGAAGACTTTCATTAGCGGTCCAGTAAAGTAGGTTATAAACACAGCAAACAGATAGCACGTCTGTTCTGGTCACATCTGGCACTGTGTGAAAAGAGTTGGAGTTTTTAAAGGTGTTCAATTTTTGATTCAGTTGTATAAAATAAACAGACTGCCCTTGTCTTAAGATAAACTAGCCCTTCTACACTGACCACCTAGCCATATAATGGCT